TGGAATTCTGTTTTAGTAAATATCAAGAGTAGAAATTAGATGAAGTACAAGATATTGGCACAAATAGCTAGATGGTATTTGATTCATTAAGAAACATTTACACTGACTCTAAAATCTGGAGAAAACAAAGGCACGCCATTAGTAGCTTTGCTATATGCACAAAAAAAGAACTCTAAAATAACCGAACAAGCAAGTTTGACTCATTCAGTTGTGCACGTTGCCTTGGATACTGCAAACGGACGGCCACTGGCAAAACACAGAAAGAATAAAATAAAAAGGCGAACCATTATTTTGGACTATGTAGCACATACACCATCCTCATGCGATCTCTTTACATGCTTAATAGTCAATTAAGAAGTTGAAATGATAATAATGTACTAATTTACCATCTACCGTCCATCTATGAAGCATGCAATTAAAAAAAACATTGAATCAAGAAAGAGAAAGCACCATCAGAGACAGTCATACCCCCCCCCCCCCCCCAAAAAAAAAGGAAAAAAAAAACAATATCTGCCACAGTAAATGCAAAAAGGAAAATTGAAGAGAATGTGCAAATTGTGAACTAGGAAAGCTGTAACATTTTGTCATGTCAAAATGTCCAACTCTGGATGCCATGGCACTAATATCTACGAGCAAGGATTTTTTAGCATTTTACTAGTGGCACTGAAGTCTATTTTCTAACAGAATTGTTACTATGCTTTTCAAGTATGCATCACATGCAGAAAATTAAAAGAGGTAAAAAGTAAGTGAATTGGCTAAAGAATATAGATAGTGGACAAAAAAAACCTTCACTGAGATTTTGCGATCACTTTGGGGCCTCTTGAACTTCTTGACACGCTTCTTCACAATCTTCTTGCTCAGCAAGGGAACAGCCATCTTTTCTACAGGTCAAATAATGCAGCATAGGAAAACTTATTTAGCATAAACACACAGCGAAACTATGGTAAACAGCAAAAGCAAAGACAAATATCTGGCTTGCCAACTGGGTATGGAAGTAATAGTTGAACGGAAACACCAATCCTAGTATTGGGAATTCGATTCATTAGCACAACAGAAATGCTAGTTAGGCCTAGTTCACATAATAAATAACTAGTACAAGGCCAATTGTAGAAAGATTTCAAACATCCAACTACAACTTTACCTGCAAAGCTCATTCGCTAGTTCATTATACATAGCACAAATCAGAAGCTAAGATCGAAGGAATATACCATTAGCATGAAATCCAGTGAGATACAATATGAAGATGAATAATAAAAATTCACCCTTAAAAATATACAATCCAAATTGAAAATTAAAGCGTACAAGTAACTGCAATCACAATTTCGAATAAAGTTCTTCATGAAAAGATAAATTTCGAACAAAAGTTGTCAAATCCTTGAACTAAACAACATTTTCAAAGCTCATAACTTCAAATATTCGGATCACATGCTTATAAAGTAATGCATGTTCACTAAGGAAAAAAAATATTATAAAAGCCGAAAGAAAGAGAAAAAAGCTTTAAATAGCCAAACAGGTATGAATAGGTAAAAAGAACCTATATAAGCTGTTTTATGCAGATTTAAACAGAAAATACATATCTTTTCCATCTTAAAAAGGAAAAGGCAAAGAAGGAGAAGAAGTCCGACCTATTCACGACGCAGCTGCGATAGCTACTCTCCGGTGAAGAAGTGTAAAGGAGTAAGAAGTGAGCTTTAGGGTTTTGAAGAATTTGTATGTAGGAGGACGGATTGGGTGCTTGCGGTAGCACGATAATGAACTGTATCTGGACCCATTCGATTCACACGTGTAGGCAGTTCTACTCTTTTACTGGATGTTATATTTGGGCTGGCTGATCTTCTGTGGCCCAAGCTCTACTCTGCCTAAATTGAGCCTGCAATTTAGGTCCATGAGTAGCCCTTTGAGATAGTCTCCCAGACTTACTTGATGCCCAGCACATGGGCCTATGTCTTGGACGTGCACGGCCCTTGTCAGTTCCAGAGTAAATTTCCCAGGGGTGGTAGTTTTTTGGAAAAAGTTCTCAAATTGTGAGACATTTTAAAATTTTAAAATAATCTTATTCGGTGAATGCAACTTTTAAGGAATAAATATCTGGAGAGAAAAAAAAATGCATTCCGTAAACGCAATTTTTGAAGAAACATTACATTCAATGAATGCATTTTTCCCAGCTTGATTGAAGATGTTTATTTGCTTCCTTCTCTACTTGGTTTTTTTTTTTTTTTTTCATTCAAGTGTATCTCAATTTTTCGATCAGACTAATCCCTTAAAACTGTATAGAACCTTGCCCCAATGATAATCGATCACAGAATCGGTTGGTAACTACCGGACTACGGAATCAAACTAGGGGCATCCTACTTGGTTTGGAAATATTACTCCACCTTGTTCATAATTGTGTTGATGTTAATAGCTTGTCCAGTTTATTGAACCGGAAAGAAACTAATTGATTGATGACAATACGACGACATCTACCAACTGAGCATCTAAAATCAATTTGTTCCTTTCGCACCTCCGGACATGTGATAAACATTCGGTTGAAAGCTCGCAACTTTTACTGACCTTGGGAAAAAAGTTTGTGCATGATGACCAACTCCTGCAAACAATTATTGGGACATGACGACCTTCGTCAAAATTAGGTACGAGATGAAGAGGAAACAAAAATCATTCCCTGTTCTTTTTTTTTTTTTTTCCACTGGTAATCTGTGAAATCGAATGTTCCTTTCTGCACGTGTTTGCATTAAGGAGCGTCTGCCATTGGTAGTGGTTTCCGAAATCGAAGCTAAATCATATGCATAAGTATCTCAGGCGTGAGAGAACTTGATATCCACCAGTGGAATGAGTAATTTTCAGCGGAGGATTTGTTCCGGGATGAAAAGTCACAACAACACGAGCAGGCTGTGGCTGTGTCTGTCTGCTTGGCATGTCGGTGGAATTAATAATGTGTCTCACAATTTTTGTGTTTGGCTTTCAATGGGCAACAGATTTCAAGAAATCATGACACAAAACTTAGACATTGGGTGGTGGGGGTCCGTTGGTACAAGAAAAACGTTCTTTTTGCATTCAATTATGGGGATTGACAAAATCAAGATAAATCCTTAAATGAGAAGATGCATTTTTTTTTTCCCAATCCTATACGGATATCATAGGAAAATTAAAAGATTATACTTTTCAATCATAGTAAACGTGATTTTAAAACTCAAATCAACTGTTCAAGTAATAACTTACCAGACTAACAGTATTTATAGATTCTAAAATTTCATAAAACAAATACAATTATAAACCAAAACTTAATTAGAAGCTAACTTGAGATTTCCTAATCTAACATAGAAACTAAACAAGTCAAAAACCAAAACGAATTAGGAAACTAATGCTAAAATAGTTTGGTTTAATTTCCTTCATTTCTTTCTCTTCTCAATCATTATTTTTATGTACGTCATATTACAAAAGTTATTAGAGTAATTATTCTAAAAAAAATTTAAAATAATCTTCTGTCTAAACAAATTGTAAACGCACCTAGATGTTTGGTGCTTACTACTTAACAGCAGAGCAAGAGAAAAGAGAAATCCTGTGATACTAATAGACACTTGACAATTTGATTATTGCTGTTTTTTTTTTTTTTCCCTCATCCACTGTTCTGAAAATTGCTGACTTACTAATTGCCAGGTTTCTGACAAGCTTACACTGCATTATAATATTTGAAATAATTTCACTATCCTAACACTCTCAATTATTATTTATAGACTAAACTCTAAAAACCCGAAATGTTGTCAATGCTTGTCTACCTAACCGCGAGGTGTCTCCATTCGCACTGCGTCGGTCCATTGAAATGCAGTGTGAAAGCCAGATTCTGAGGCTGAAGTCAAATCTTCTCTTCCCACCATAAGTGAAAATGCAAGTGGGACCTCTTAAATTCTGGACCAGCCCACCCGGACCGACGGAGGGGCTATTTCTGGTAGTTGTAGACCCCCTTTTTTTTTTTCCAAGCTCCGTATTTGTGGACTTGTAGCTTACTTGCTGATATATATATATATATATATAATTGGTTAATGGATATCCAGTGAATATTCATTAAGAGAGATTTCAGGTATTAATTTTTTTAACAAAAAATATTATTAATTTAGAAACTTTTTAAATGTAAAGATATAATAAATATGAATGTGTGCATTCATAATAATATTAATACAAACCACACATTTAATGTAAAGATATAATATTAATAATTTAGAAACTTTTTAAATGTAAAGATATAATAAATATGAATGTGTGCTTTGATAATAATATTAATACAGACCACACATTTTGACGACCATCCATCTAGACTTCAAAAGTGGAGAAAAATTGGAGGAAAGGGAGACTTATGTTTAGTAAAATTATTTTCACCACCCAATTAACATATGAGTCATGACATTCTTTTTTTTACTATTTTCTTTTCCCTTGAGCCTCCGAACAATTCAATATTTTTGTTTGTTTCTACTTTTTTCGCCTCTAATTTAAACAACATTACAACTATGGCTGCAAAATGAATCGAGCCGCTCGATTCAAGCTCGATCAATATTGATCGAGCTTGAGTAACTTGAGTTGGCTCGAGTCGAAATCGAACTCAAGCTCGAATTCAAAATTTATTAAGAAAAAAAATTATTTTTTTTTAAAAATAAAATAATTATTTTTTATTTTTTTCGAACTCAAACTCAAATTTTAAATTATCAGCATATTGAGGTCAAGTTTGAATTTAATAAAATTAAATCATGACTCGCTCCAGAAGACCAAAGCTCGTTTACAGCCCTAAATTTACAACAATACAGCGTTGACTGAAATAGTGAAATCACAGTATTTTCTACCATCCTATCTTCACCAGGTAATTTCCTCTATTACCAAACTCCTATTCCTAACAATAAATGGAGTGATACCCCAAGCGTGCCTGCCCTATATAACTCTGACTCAGGCCTCCCTTCCATTGAAGTATTGAACCCTATTACCATTAGACTTCCCTTCTCCTCATTGTCGCCATGGCCTCGTTTCTGTTCCAGCAACGTCTTCCCATCTCTTTACTCCTCCTCCTTATACCACTCCTAATCTCGCCGGCTCATTCTCTTAAATGTACGTCACAGAACTTCACAGGCGGCAGCACCCACTACACGAACTGCACCGACTTGCCGTCGCTCAACGCGTATCTCCATTGGACCTACGAGTCCACCAACAAAACTCTCTCAATAGCCTTCATCGCCCCACCCCCTAAATCCGACGGCTGGGTCGCATGGGCCATCAACCCAACGGCAGCAGGGATGGCCGGTGCACAAGCTCTGTTAGCATACAAAGCCGCTAACGGCTCTATGGTCGTTAAAACCTACAATATTAGCTCCTATAGTTCCGTTGTTGAGTCGAAGGTTTGGTTCGACGTTTTGGACAAGAAAGCTGAGTTCTCTGGCGGGGTTATAAGGATTTTTGCCAAGCTGGCATTGCCGGAGAGTCTGACGACGGTGAACCAAGTTTGGCAGGTGGGGCCGTCGGGGAAGGCTGGGCCCGAAAAGCACGAGTTCAAGCCGGAGAATTTGAATGCTAAGGGCACGTTGCAGTTGGTTGAGGATGCCGGGGAAATTAGTCCGGCTCCTAGCCCGAGTCCCGGTGCGAGTGGGCCCAGCGGTAATGGGACCCGTCAAAGTGGGAGAGATAATGCAGGTTGTGGAAGGACTTGGAATAAGGGGTTCTTGAGTTTCTACGGGTTTTTGTTGCTTTGGGGGATTTTAGTTTTGGGTTTTTGATTTTAAAATTACGGGATGTTTTTCGACACCGTAATACAAATGGCCTGCACGGATCGATCATTAGAGTGATTAGGTGGACCAAAAAAAAAAAAAAAAAAAGAGAGATTCTTATTCCTAAATTCAGGGTATATGAATACTTCTTTCTCTCTTGTTTTCTGGCTAAATTTTGCAACTTTTTTTATTCCTAGTGCTCCAATTTTGAAACGTTGTATCGTTTTTATGGTAGATTTGGGTGCTTGACCCAAAAAGTAAATAAGAAGCTCCTTTTTAATCCATGACTGGTGTGATTTAATAATAATATTTACAGCTTTTTGACAACAATAATAAATATATCTTCACGTGTTTGGTGGTAGAAGAAAATTCCTGCTGATCTCATCTGCCTTTCAGTCCTTGTGTATAATTGTAACAGTTTAAGAATTCCTGCAGCTAAAAGTCATGGATATAACTTCAACGATAAGACAAGTTACTGTAATTCTTTTTAATTAAATGAATAAATTAGAACTCGATCAATTGCAGAGCTTGTGAAGAGCCATAAAGGAGTTCTAATTATTTGCACCCTTTTGTTAGTGGAATTTTGTTTCCCATTGGTCATGCAGCAGATTCTCTAATGAAACAATGATGGCATACCACAGGGTGGATACTTGCAACTTTTGGCTTTTCCTTGCCCTTTCGATGCCATGGTACGTACTTTAGGGCCCTAGCACTTCAAAAATCTGAGTGGGAATTTTTTTTTTCCTTTCCCACTTTTGAGTTTCTAAGGATTTGCTACAAACGCACGGTTAGTTAATCTCTTACAACTTTTTCTTTTTTGTTATAATAATCTTAGGATTCCTAATAGGGGGGGGGGGTGGTCTCTGCATCAGCAATTGATTGTTAGTGGTACCACCTTAATTTGCAATCACGCTTCTAGCAATAGCAATTAGACAAGTTGGCGATGACTCGATTTGGCATGACTTTCTGGGCGTTTTTAATCTAATCGAGTGTGTGTGTTCTTTTCTGTCTATGGAAAAAAAAATTAGACAAGTTGGGACTTCTGCTTAACTGGGTTCTGCTTTTCACCTAAACTAAGAAATGACATTAGGGGCATATTGTTAAGTTAGCCTGAGTTGAATAGAGTGCAGTGTCCCAGCGCATGATAACCACTTTCGGATAGTTTTTCGAGATCACCAGATCGACTCCAGCTGATAACATAGACTGTGATAACTCTTGGACGGACTCTGTATAACTGTAGGGGATTAGTCTGACGTAAATTAAAATATCCTATATTAACAAAAAAAAAAAAAAAGAGAGAATGGAAGCGTAGTAGCTCTTCCATTAATGGAGTAGAAAACACACTAAATACTAATGAGACACAACCCTTGCCTTTTGGGCTAATCCAAATCCCAAATGCCCATGTGCATCAATGGCCGTGACTCGTAATTTAATTTCCGCCCGCTTCGAAGGTTTTAATCTATTCTTGGCGAGGGAAAACGAGCGTGGAATTTCTGAATCCTTAGGGGAGAAAGCAATGTAACGCGTGTCACGGGACAAAGCACTGTTAATGCCGCGTTTCAAGTGAACATAGTCAAGTACAAGAACTAAATTATGGGGCAATTACGTTGATGGATGCAATCTTATGCTTCCCATCCTCAAGCCAAAGACCCGCAGAACCAGGAGCATTAAAAGATTTTTAATTACTAATACCGTTGATATCAAACTTATTCATTGACTTCCAGTGTTCTGTATTTGAAATTGAGGAGGTCATACTTCTTCGGACTGTGATGTATAACCCACCAAGTGGATTGTGAGTTGTTGACTTAGAAACTGTGCGGTTGGACGTCGAAGCTTCAAATGATTTGTAGTAGTAGTATATGAAAACTCTGAAGTCTCAACCAGCGAGGGCCGTAACCGTGAATCTTCACTGCCCAGAAGCCCCGCACCTAAATGAGTAATATCTCAGGGCGGAATTTTGCGTGTCATCCATGTGCGGTGTTGCGTTCCTCGACCCATCTCCGAACTATATTTCCATCAAACGATACCAGTAACCTAGGAATTATTAGGATTGACACGGGCGAATTTTTGGAGATAAGAACGGAAAAAAACATCTGCATTTCTCTATCAATCGGTCGGACGGCAAAAATGTTGCAGGATGCCACAAAATAGAAGTGAATCTAAGACGACTGGACCAGCGCATGCATATCACATAAATTTCCTCCACGACACCTGACGGAACCATGGAGCGACAGACCCATCTTTTACCCACCGGCCACCACTTAGCAAGTGAAGTGACAAATTTCGGTGTGGTAATCATCATCATCATCACGGCAGCACCATTTCAACCACTCGGGCTAAGTTATTTTGAATTGTTTCAGCCTAAAGTAGTGTCTCTTGTGCAAAATAACACATGAAGGCTTTACATTCAACTAGTATATAATGTGAAATTTGAAATAACACGCTTCATTTTTTTGTCGTTCCTTGAAGATGCCTGGGAGCAAACGGAACGAGTTCGTGTTCCGTGCAATTTAAATTAGTAACGATACACTAGGTGGTGCACAGGGGCCAAAAAATGAAGTATCTTCGTTCAGTTAATTTAGAAAGTTCTTATTTGTTTCATTCTTTTGATTGAAAGAAAATCATGAAGTCAATTTGAGTTTGTCATTTTATTTTCTTATTATTCACGAAATATATAGATGTATTGTTTATTCTTATTATGTGAATATTGTCATTATGTTCACAGTTATAAAGCCTGACCCGGTCCAATGGTCGAATCGGTCAATTCACTGAACTGACCATAAGATCGAATTGGGTTGTTATTTAAACTAGTTAAGCAACAAATTCATTGATCGGTCAATGATCTGATGATTCAATCGGTGAATCGAAAAAAAAAAATCAGTTGAACCACGGATTAAACCATCAACTTAAAAATTTTACTGTTTTAATAATTTAAAACATAATATTATATTATATAATACAATTATTGTACAATCTATGGTTGAATCAGTGACCCGATGACTAGGTCATCTCTTCAGGTTGAGTTCCGGGTCGGGGTTTAATAACCATGATTATGTTACTCCTTATGTCATATTTGGATAGTCTTTTTTTTTTTTGTTATACACAATTTAAGAAAAATTAGTTAATTTTGTTGAAAGAGTAAATTTAGTTTAGTACTTTTCTAAAATATCCTTGTGACTAATTACTACACCTTTACATTAATTGAAATAACAATATTATAGAAAGTTACACCATTCAAGCCAAGAATTCAAACAATTAATGAATAAGTTAGGATATAATCATAACAAAGTACACTAAGGTTCTGTTTGATAATTTAATTTAGTATAATGAGACAGATATTAATATGTTTATATGTATTTGATAACAAAAAGTAGAACATCAGACAAAATTTGTTTTAAAAAATAATTGATAAACTATTTATTTATCACTTAATATGATATACATTGAAATGTATCAGACGCACCCTAAATAAGGGTATTGATATTTGCAACTAAATATATAAATGTAAGAAACTATATGCTTTTTCCTCACAATACCTGCACACCGGAGTTCTATTGATACAAAAATCCAACCTAAAATAGGATATTAATATGAGTTTGAAAATTAATCCTCTCCAGAAAATCCTAGGCAATGGCCTGCGTTAGACCAAGCGTTAGTTCCACAGCCCAGTACAAGTACAAATGCTAGTTCGCGACATTAAAATCTCGACTCCGTCTATTGGCAGGAAAACAAGCCATAATTAGCTTAGCAGCGCAAGCTATGATTGAATGCTAAGCTAAATACTGCCAACTCCAAAAGACTGCCTGAAACTGATAGACACAAGAAATTGCATATCTAGTACAAAAACAGTTGAAACTTGAAAGCCAACCCTCTGATCTGGCCAAGGAGCGGCCTCAGCAAGTTACTGGCCAGCTGAAAACTGGGAATCCCAGCGCCTTCAAGCAGTCGGTTTGTAAAAAATTTTATGTTCACTGTACCAGGAAATGATTGTGTTATACGTTCCTTTCAAACCCATAGTCACAGAGACTGATGACCTACGAGTGAAATAACATATATAATTCCTGTTTAGATATAATGTACGTCTAAAATGACATCCAAAAGTAGAATGCCAAGGTGGTGATCCCATGAGGTGAGCCTACCAATAGCATAAAGAGTAAAATGAACTAGAAGAGCTCATAGAAACCATGGCTCTTTACAAGAAAACGAAAAGAAAGGAGAACTCTTTTCCTTTTTAGTTATGAAGTAAAATTTGATTATGGTATAATCCTAGTCTACGAGGAGCTTAGCTAATCAAATCAAGTTCAGTTGGCAATTTGGCAATTAAAAGTTTACTGGTAGAATATGCATCCTGTACTAATAGTCATAGAAGCAGGAAAGCAATTAGAAAGGGCCGTGCTGCTTATGAGGTGAGATAGTGGATTAGGCACTTGTTTAATTAAAGCAACCATCACAGTTGAATAATAATTAATGTTGTGTTTGGATTACATTTTTCATGATTTTTCATGAAAAAATTACTGTAGCGATTTGATGTATTTGAGAAAAAAAGATCATAGAAAAATGTGATTACGGAAAATGACGTAATTTTTCGACGAAAAACAGCAATCCAAACAAGGTCTAAGTTAAAAACATATGCTACTGGTAAGTAGCAAGTAAACCATGAGAATTGGGCCACAAACAAACGAAGAGGTGTCGTCGGGTTGGTAAAGCATGATGTGTCCGTCGTCCCGGCTCGTGTAATTAATTGATAAGACCCCGAATTTTAGTTTGGAAAAAAAAAAAACATTAGAAGTCTTAGTTTGAAAAGTGATGGCGTGATGAAGTCACACGTTAGTAATACTACTACTGCTTAGACTGAGGCAGTCTACCTCTCCGCCTAGTTTATGGAATCCCCTGTAGTAGTAATTGTTTATTTGGTCATTCCGGCATCATCATGACATGTGACAATAATGAGAGGATCCTTTGTGGTTAGACGCGCACAGAGTTCACAAAAGGAATTTGATTAAGCCCTA